AAATGGAGATGCTTCCAGGATCTTTTATGTTTTCACCCATGTGGAGGGGATGCTCTCAGTCTTAGTTTGTGGAAAATTACAGGCACAAGATGGAGTCCGGGGTCACATGAGCTAGACACGTGCCTTTGCATGCTTTGATGAATCACAGGAGTGGCCATTACTGATGTTCTGGCAAAAGCGTCCACAGGAAGGATCACGTGGTGGAGACGAGTCTCTTCTATGATTCTTTGTAAGAGTTAAGTGTTTCTTAATGGGCTATCCACTCAATTAGTTCATTCACAGTGTGCTGGCCAGATTGGATGTAAATTATCTTGTGGGTGTTACCACAGGAGCAAACACATTTGAACTACTAGTACACAATCAATATTCATAACTTTAGATAGAAAGAGGATACATGCATATAAACAGGATAATCATATTTGATAGATTGTAACTTTTCCATTGATACCCTACATGACCTACTTTGTATAAGATTTGTTGCAATTGTCTAAAAGAGGCAATATTAATGATATAAATGATCATATTTCAATCAAACTGTGTCACAACCTACAACTGTGAAAATAACACAGATACAACTCATCCTCAATCTTCTGTTGGCACTTGCTGCATAGAATGCACAGAATATCTGCCTGGTGAAGGATAAACTAAGAAAGATCCAACTTACTTAACCAAGTCTTGCTTAGATCTACACAGCCAGGGCTTTGTCTGCAATCAAAGTGCACAACAGTGTAGAATTGTAGCTAGATATTTTACCATCTACAGAGAATATCAGTTTAAACCCAACTGTACAGAGCTATACAAAACAATTATGGAAACCCATTAATGCCCGTGAGGGCGTTTTCATCTTCCCCCGCGTTTTCTTCTTTTCTTTAAAAAAAACAAAACGAGGAAATTAAATGCAAAAAGTTTGAAAATAGCTCAACTTTTGGCTGTTTATATTGGCAATATTCACATAACATTAATTAAAATGTTTTCATTTAATTGACTATGTTTCAATGAACATAGAGATTTATTGTCCCTCAAGATAAATATTGACCTCAAGTTTGCCTTGGTCAATATTTACCTCTTAGGTCAATAAATCTTGGTGATCTCCTTAAAAAAAAGAAGAAGAAGAAGAAGAAGTAGATACCTTATTATTTTTACAAGAGCTTTCATATTATAAATATGGTTAAATACATAACTATTTAAAGTAACGTTAAGCTCTCAGATAAATTTAATAAATAATAAAACATCCTTTAAAACAGCTATGAGTCATTTTTCATTCAACTGAATGACAATAAACAATAGTTTTGTCCAATATTTAGTTCCGTAGTCCTCTTGATCACTCAGGGCCTGATAAAATGAGAGAATTTTATCTTTGACTGCAATCTTGAAGAATCTCAGTAGCTAACATGATTCTGACCTCAACATACTGACAATGTAGACTAAGGTCAATCAGCTTGATCCACGCCCTGATTGGTCAGTATTGTGTCAGACAAAACATTCAATAATAATAATTAAATCACAATTAGTTAATCATAATCGTAATCATGTTGAGCAAGATTTGCCCGGGCCTACGTTGACAAGAACGGTGGTCAATATAATGATCACAAATCATCAAAACATGATTCTTCACAATTTTGTAACACAGATCAGCCCTCAGTGATTTCAGAACATGACACAATCCAGAGCAGAACATGGTTTATTGTCAGCAGACAGAAAAGATAACCTTCCTGTTAAGTATTTTTAATAACATTTATTTTAAAGGTTGATTTATACAGTGTTACAACCAGATGAAATAATAGAAGTTTTTATGGTGAAGACAGTTTTTTTAAAATCCATCATAGTTTTTCCTTACAGGTGAACTGCCACGGGAAGGAGGACAGGAGAATGGGTTGGTGCTCTTTGTGGGTTTTTAAGTACATAGATGTAAACAGAAGGCTAAGGTTTTTTTTCATAGGGAGGTTATGGGGGCAAAGTTCTCCATGAGCCATTTCATGGGCCCCAACTTATAGGAGTTGTAGAGCTTTGCCATTCAGAGAACGTTGCATGGGTGCAGAGCAGTGTCATATAGGAATAAGGGATGTTCTCTCCTTAGTCCTACATTGACGTGTCAGTTACTCCATTATGATAATATAGTTCCTATCATATTGGCATTGTGGAATACAACTAAAATTGGGTCATTATCAAAAACTGAACATTTCTACCGAACATTATTTTTGGAAATATGATTGTGTTTAAAGTATTTAACTGAGATGTGAATAGCTCCTCTAGAGAATCATAAAATTGACTGCAAAGATCAAAAAAAGAGAAAAGTTGTGCAATATGGAACTGAGACTGAATGACATAAAAGTTGTGATTCTCACTGCTGCAAGCTGTAAGGTAGAGTTTGCGTGCCTGTGATTACACCTTACACCAAAAACTATGTGATTTTAATGGGAATTTAAAAGTTAAATAAACCTTACAATCTCTTTCAGATTCCTACAGCTGTTGAAAAGCCACACAAATCCAAAGAGATGCACACATCTTAGGGAGAAAAATAAAAAAATAAAAAATCACCTCCCCCCTGTGCTATTCTTAATGTCACACATAAATAACACAGTTGCATTGATTTGTTCAGGGCTATGTTTCACAATCTCTCATAACATAACATTTTTCAGAGCTGCTGAACGGGAACACTGATATTTTGTCCATTCTTTTGTGGAAACTCTGAGATGTACAGGACCTCAGGAACCACAATGAAAGAGCTAAGTTATAATACAATACTACTTTATTTACTATAGCATTTTTCATAAAAACTGGTACCCAACCACTTGAGAATTGGATCCTGACCCTACAAATCCTATTCAAAAAGGTAATCTCATTGACATCAGTTGACCTTTACCATTCTTGGACCTGATCCTGAAAATTTTTATTTGGGCAGCTTGTCCCATTGAAGTAAAATGGAGAAGTATAGATCCAAAGTTTAAAATAAAAACAATGGAGAAAGAAATTAAAAGCTATAAGCAAAGGAGGATAAACCTGAAATGTGCCTGAAAGCTGAAATGAAGCAGAGAGATATATAAAGCTTGCTCCACATGACAAGAGCTGCAGAGGAGAAGGGTCTCACACTAACAGTGGCAAGATTATGTAGAGAAGTCATAGATCGGGCAGAGAATGTATGTTCTCTTCTGGACACATACATATGCAATTCTCATTAACATTAATGGAGCATTAGAGATACATAACTGGAGAAGAGGTGTTGTGTATGAATTTTTGTGGGAGACTCACAAAGTGTTCATAACACAGTAATACTGTAGCAGCATGTAGAAATGTAATTTCACTATTTAAAGTAAAATATAGATTATATTGTTGCTAGGATTATACGTTTAAGTAATGCATAGTTACAACTTGTTAAAGTACAACTGCATGCTAGTATCTTTACATTGCATTGTAGTTGTCATGTAGCAAATATCTTAATGGAAGGAAATAAGGGTTTTTTACATAAAATGAAATAAAAATCTAGTTTCTAAAGGCACCTGATACATGAGATATTTGGTTGGTCAATTACAGTTTGATGACAATGTACAAAAATCTACACTTTAATTAGGGCAACAGTCTGCTCTCCGATGCAAGGGTGTGGCTCCCTCTAAAGTTAATAGCAGCTGATGGGAAACTTTGGCCCCAATGTTATATCATCCAATAGGGTTAATAAGCTCTGCATTGTTTTGCTGTCTGTTACTAATCCTCTAGATATTCAAATATCCAGGCTAAATAAATACATTTTCTTTTTGACTCCTTGAGTAAAATTTTTAAGTTATATTTCCTAACATCTTTTTAGCTATCTCAGTCTGTACAATCCCATTATTTGTCTTTAAGTGACTGAAATCTGAGTGTAGAGAGAGAGTTGCATTGTTCATCATTACTTACAGCCCCTCTCACACAGTACAGTCCATTTCTGACAAGCACTAATCTTTCTCTTCTTCATGCCCTTTATTTTTAATGATCAGCAACAACTTTCTACTTATCCCATGACTCCTACACCTTAGACATTGTCATTAACTTCACATATGGAACTCTGTCAAAAATGTTTTCTTTGAAACCAACTTTGTCATGATATGCTTCTGAATACAGTGACAAAATTTCTCTCTTTATCTTCAAGGTTACAATACTTTCCATCTGTAATCATTTGATCTCTGGATAGAGACAAAAATAATTTCCTCCTGCTGAAATTTCATCAGCAGTAGCTTTTAATGAGCAGTTAATATGAAGTAGCAGAAACCTCACTGAACTTTTGCCAGCAATTAGAATATGTCATGTAACCTGCAACACAGCCGACAGTATATAGTACTAGTACTTAACTAGCACGGTCCACATTATTTTCTAGAATTTTTTTTATTATTATTTTTTAGCCTTGTTTATGAGAAGTAAGTCAACTCTCATGATAAATGTGTCAGGGCACCCATCCAGAATAGATGAATAACCACCCTTCCAGAATTTTGCAGGCTCATTCCGCTTTAACTGGAGGAGGCCCAACTGCCATAGGACGACTGAACTGTCCTCCAAATTATTTTGAGAAAATATTGATCATCATTAGTGCCAAGATGCAATGTGTTTGCAACAAGACAAATTGCAGAGAGATTGTAACCAGTGACAGGGGTCGAAAAGGAAGCTTTGCAAAAGCTGTTAGTGGGATAGGCACACGGACATTTAAAATAGTCACTTTTCCCAATGTCCTTGCTCTTAGGCATTTGAAGGGCAACTAGAACCAAACAAATGGTCAATCATTCTAGTGAAATTATGATGGAACTGGAATAAAGAATGTATCTGTAAATATAATAGAGCAATCAAGACAGAGGAGTGCCATCAGAACACTTCTTTCTTTCAGTCTGGACAATATAATAGGTGCATCCCCTTTGATTCTGAGCCGCTTGCCTTCTATCTGTGGCTCTAATTGTCAAACGGTACCAAGGATGATAAGCTTTAGAGTTCAGAGCTGCCAGAAAAATCTCCAAAATCTGTGATGGTTTATTTATGGCTTCATCCTCTTTGTACAAGAAATGAGTCTGATTAACAAGTTATTTCCAGCACACTTGAAATTACATATCACAGCCAAAAAAGCTTTCTTTTCTTTTCTTTAGATGGGCACTGTACCGATCCTCCCCTTCATCTATCTGGAGCCAGCAGCATCAGATTCCATCAAGAGGAAAACAGACTGTTTTGTATTTTGTACCTAGGATTTGAGCAAGATGCCAGGACAGCTGTTGGATATGAAAAAGGTAACTTGACCTTCGTGAACATAATAATGCACCAGTTTCCTGCTATTTCTGGTTCTTTAGGAAGGGCTCTGCATTTAAATTTCATAACTCCCCAACAAAAGGGAATTTATAGCTCATATTGCTTTAAAATGTGCATGCTTTGCAGAAACCAACCTGAACACCTTTAAAAACCTGCGTGCAAAAATGCTAAGTAGATACACTTTACCTTAGTATCAGTGAATAGTATGGTGTACAAATTCAAGACGACAGCTGTCTATTTTATTAGGTGTTTGAAGCATCCTTCAACTCCATACTTTTGTATACCTGTCTGCTGGAAACATAGCTGAAAGATCTTTACAGCATGACTCAGGAACACCATATCTTGCTATGGGTAATTGAGACTAAACAAGGCATCATATTGTTTTGTACCTAGAGCTGGTCAGAAGAAGTCAGAGTTTCACTATAAATTCCAAAATTCTGGAAAAAAAATGGATCTGTTTCAGAATGTTCAAGATTTCCCATGGAAGGGAAAATACAAAAAAGAAGCTTGTTTTGAAATAATCAAAATGTTTCATTTTGAAAATGTCAGAACTAAGTTGAGCTCAAACTCCCAGCCTCAGCCAGGGCTTTCAGACTCCAAACTCCATAGCAGGAAATCTAACTTCTGGGAGCCTCCATGGTTTCCAGGTTCTTGGCTCTGTGGCAGGGAGCCTGGAAGACCTGAGAGCCCCAGCATAGGCTACCAGGACTTCCAGGCACCCAACCCTGTGGCAGGAAGCCTGGAAGTCCTTGGGTGCCCAGCGCTGGGGCAGTCTGCATGGCAGGAGAGCCATGGCCCCCTGAAGCCCTAGCATCCCTGACCATAGGGCAGTCTGCTTGGTGGAGGTGCCCTGAAGCTGTGGATTCCAGAACCCCAGGCTCCACAGCAGCCTGCCAGACAAGCAGGCAGGAAGTCGCGCAGGGATTGTTGAAACCAAGATATTTTTTGCAAAACATTTGTTTTGACAAATCAGCATCTTCTGACAAAAACTGATTTTGTTGTAAAATTCCCGCCCTGCTCTAATAGTAACCTACCAAAGTGTCTATGTTGTCTAGTAAACTAAGCAATACTTGGCAACCTTGGAACACGGCACTTTAAAATTTGGCTGTGATACCGACTCAGGTGTTACTTTGGACAAGTCGCTTAACTTCTTTGGGCCTCGGTTTTTCCACCTGAAAAATTGTGGCTATAGTGCTTACTCATTTTTTTAAATACTTGAGATCGTTAGAATAGTTAACAAATGCTCTGACAATGGAAAATCTTGTTAATAATGACTGTCTGTGCAAAATTTAAGTGCTAGATCAGTGGTTCTCAACCTATTTACCATTGTGGACCTCATATGCAGCTCTCTATGTGTTATGTTGGCTGCATCCACACAATATATATACTCCCTGTGTGGCTCTGCGGATGTCACATGGGCCACAGCTGTGTGCTGACTGGGCTGCAAGTGACCTGGGGTTGAGAACCACTGTGCTAGATAAATGCTGAGTAATTATCATCTTTTTAAATACTGTATTTTACTATTCCTCTCAGCTTCACCTCTGCCACGACACACACATTATGGTTTCAGAGTAGCAGCCGTGTTAGTCTGTATCCGCAAAAAGAAAGGGAGGACTTGTGGCACCTTAGAGACTAACCAATTTATTTGAGCATAAGCTTTTGTGAGCTACAGCTCACTTCATCAAATGCATTCAGTGGAAAATACAGTAGGGAGATTCATATACATAGAGAACATGAAACAATGGGTGTTACCATACACACTGTAACCAGAGTGATCACTTAAGGTGAGCTATTACCAGCAGGAGAGCGGGCGGGGGGGGGGGGTGACTTTTGTAGTGATAATCAAGGTAGGCCATTTCCAGCAGTTGACAAGAATGTCTGAGGAACAGCAGGGGAGGGAGGAAAAAAATGGGGAAATAGTTTTACTTTGTGTAGTGACCCATCCACTCCCAGTCTTTATTCAAGCCTAAGTTATGAGTTATGAGGAGAGGCTGAGGGAGCTGGGATTGTTTAGCCTGCAGAAGAGAAGAATGAGGGGGGATTTGATAGCTGCTTTCAACTACCTGAAAGGGGGTTCCAAAGAGGATGGCTCTAGACTGTTCTCAATGGTATCAGATGACAGAACGAGGAGTAATGGTCTCAAGCTGCAGTGGGGGAGGTTTAGATTGGATATTAGGAAAAACTTTTTCACTAAGAGGGTGGTGAAACACTGGAATGCGTTACCTAGGGAGGTGGTAGAATCTCCTTCCTTAGAGGTTTTTAAGGTCAGGCTTGACAAAGCCCTGGCTGGGATGATTTAACTGGGAATTGGTCCTGCTTCGAGCAGGGGGTTGGACTAGATGACCTTCTGGGGTCCCTTCCAACCCTTATATTCTATGATTCTATGATAAGTTAATTGTATCCAGCTTGCAAATTAATTCCAATTCAGCAGTCTCTCGTTGGAGTCTGTTTCTGAAGTTTTTTTGTTGAAGAATTGCCACTTTTAGGTCTGTAATCAAGTGACCAAAGAGATTGAAGTGTTCTCCGACTGGTTTTTGAAAGTTATAGTTCTTGATGTCTGATTTGTGTCCATTTATTCTTTTACGTAGAGACTGTCCAGTTTGGCCAATGTACTTGGCAGAGGGGCATTGCTGGCACATGATGGCATATATCACATTGGTAGATGTGCAGGTGAATGAGCCTCTGATAGTGTGATTAGATGTGATTAGACCCGATGATGGTGTCCCCTGAATAGATATGTGGACACAGTTGGTAACCGGTTTTGTTGCAAGGATAGGTTCCTGGGTTAGTGGTTCTGTTGTGTGGTGTGTGGTTGCTGGTGAGTATTTGCTTCAGGTTGGGGAGCTGTCTGTAAGCAAGGACTGGCCTGTCTCCCAAGATCTGTGAGAGTGATGGGTCGTCCTTCAGGATAGGTTGTACATCCTTGATGATGCGTTGGAGAGGTTTTAGTTTGGGGGCTGAAGGTGAGGAAGCAAATATTTGATATCTTTGATCTGACACAAAACAAGCTGATAGTACTTTGAAGTTAGGACTGATTATAGCTACATTTTAAGGTTGAAAGTCTTCAGACAAATTAATTGCAATTGATATTACTCCCTGCTTAGCTGCTCTTGTCTCTTAAGTCACTGTTTACATCTTCCACTCTGCCAAGATGACAGGCTTGAATCCCAGTTTGTCTGCTTCTCCCACACTGTGCCCTCTGTCTGGAAAACTCTTTGGCTGAACCATACCTGCTATTCCTTCAAATCCTCACTTCTGCTATGAAGTCTACAAGAAATCAGCCAACTAATTATGGCAAGACTGAACGGCAAAAGACACTGAAAGTTTTATTTATTTATGAAAGAAATAGAATACGTTGGAACCATCAGGGTGTGCCCTAGCTCACCCATGTAATTGCATGACCTTTTGGGGAATGTTTAGGATCCTCTAATACTCGATGGCTCCTCCTAATAGCAACTATAACTGTGCTGTCAGCAGAACAAATACAGCCAGTCCACCTTTCACATCTGCCCACCAGTTTGCTTCAGTACCAGGTAGCTGACTCATTGCTGCCATCCTGTACTTCTAGGTTGAGTTATGTATAGCTCAACAGAGACAAAAATCCAGAGACAAAAATCTAATAGCCCTGTCTTAGCAAGACCACACAGGTTTAGGTACCCATCTCCTCAGGCTGACCCTGGCTATCTGATCCAAACACAGGTTTTCCTGTTGTTTGGAATTCACTTTGGACAAAGCTCTCATGCAAGGTCTATTCCAAAGTGTTTATTTATCTGGGGACCAATCCCACACCCCTTGAAGTCAATGGAAATCCTCCCATGAATTTCAGTCATTGGATCAAGCATTTGGTCTCTGCAACTTCCCTTCTATCTGCTTTTTACTCAGTCACCTACCTTTCAACTCTGTTAATACACTGAGGATTACTCACTGGAGGTAGCATAATAAGATCACTCAGCATGAGAAATTTAGCACTCCTCATCATGTCTTGGATTTGCTCAAGTTTGCACCCAGGCTAACTTATGCCCCAGACACCAGTGAATGGACCTTACAAGTTACACTCTTGTGAGCTGTAGCTCACAAAAGCTTATGCTCAAATAAATTTGTTAGTCTCTAAAGTGCCACAAGTACTCCTTTTCTTTTTTGCGAATACAGACTAACACGGCTGCTACTCTGAAATCTTCCTGAAGTGTACTTCAGCCACATTGTGGACCCCCTTCTCTGCTTCAGACAAATTCAGATGTGATGTGTAAAAGGTTGTAAGTTACGCATCAGTAAAGTAGGTGTGACTAAGTAAGTATAAATGGACTAAATTCTGGTCCCACTCAAGTCAGTAGGAGTTTTTCCATTGGCTTTGATAAGACCAGGATTTAGCTGAGTGAGTCCAGCTTAGTACAAGATACATGGGACTTGAAAGAGCTGTTAGTTGCACCATATTAAACTTCTTTAGACTCCCCTGGTTTCAGACTCACTGCTTAATTTGGCTCAGAAGCTAAATTTATGTGGTATGCAGTAATATGTGTCTACCTGCATAGCTGAAAGCATAACTTGGCTCCAGATTCCCTAAAAATGGCCCTTTGAGTAAAAAGTTACTTTGCTCTGTACCTGAAGTAGAAGAGGAAACATTACTGAAAAGGTGACTGAAAGTTTTGTTTGAGAGTCAACATGAAAATATAAGAGACTAGGGAATGCAATCTTTCTTTTTAGCTGTTTAGGATACCAGGAAAATTAATCTGGGAATTATTTAATAGCCGTGAGACTTAAAATAAAACATTTGTCAAGCAAAAATGTATGTCATTTTTATGGAGATTTCCACCTGTGAGTATCAGTTGTTTCATGACATATATCATACCTCACTAGCTTATTAGCTTGCTTTTATGAACATATCTTTTCCCAAAGAAGTAGAATTTTATTTCTTTTGTATTATTATTATTTTATTACAATGCATAGTGAAACACCTGGAGAAGAGGCCTCTGGGGGCTAGAAAGCATGTTTCCTTTAAATCATGTTATGTTGAATTCTACCTGATTGTATAAAATTACTAATTAATGCCACTGTTTTATGTTTTAGTATCTTTTTGATATAGTGGGAGTTTGTATGAATTTGTTATCCATCATAACAAAAGCCAGATAAATAAATACTGTTCCTATTAAATTATTTGTTGGGCCTGCCAAAGTCTTCACACTGGCTACATCTGCTTAAGGACCAATCTGGTTACATGTTTGGAAGCCTGATCTGGGTGACTTCAATGGAAATAGGACCAGGACTTTGTGGTAAGCAAAGTAATTATACTTCGCACTTTTAATCTTCAAGATATTTTGCAAACAGTAAATAATTAGTCCTAATATCCAGGTGATCTAGTTGCTATTCCTATTTTACAAAGGGAGTATGTGTGGAACAGACTAATTAAAGGCTCAGGGACCTGTTCTCAGCAAGTCAAGAAAAGCAGGATTGGGCCCTAAGTGATTTGTTTAGAATCCAAGACTTCCAACACCATAGTAAAATCACATTTCTCTTTCACAAATAAAGGTGATTAATGCTGAAGACTGGAGAAGGTGAGGTGAAAGATGGAAAGAGGAAAGAAAAGACAGTGGAATGGTAAGAAGATGAGACAGCAAGAGGAAGGTTGAAGAGCAAAGGCCTGGTCCACGTGCAGCTGCACTAGTTTAACTGAAGGTGTGATGTTAAATCACTACAACCATGTATGGATGCTCTTAAGTCAGTCTAAGAATGTTGTATAGTAGTTTAGTTTAAATCAGTTTATAATATTTTATCTAACCTGACTTTGGACCTTCTTAAATTAATTTAAGGGTGTCTACAATCAGAGGTTCACCGATTTAAGTAAATCAGTTTCTAAATCAATTTATTTAACTCAGTGATTGTGTGTAGACAAGCCCAAAGTTCATCCCAGTGCTGTTTTTAGTAAGGTAAAATCCTTTCAGTATTTGATACATTGTCTATCATTAGTCTATACATTGCCTTTTCGACAAAAAGGACTCAATGATAATAGGTCTTTCCCATCTCTAATTAGGATCTTCTCTATTTTTTCCTTTTTTTACCTCTCTTTCATTTTTACTTGATTTCCCCCTATTTCTCTTTTCTCTTTAACTCTTTCATTTTCCCAATTTTCCCTTCCCCCATCTCTCTCAGTCCCTTGCCCATTTTCTCATTGGCAGCTTTCTTCCCAGGAAGTGGGAGATTTAAGAAGTAATGTTTTATATATTATGGTTCAGTCAATGTTGGTTTGCATGCAGCAAGCTCTATGAATGTTATTCAGATCTGGAAAAAATAGGAAAAGAGTCAAGTCTAAAACAACGTTAAGCTCATGAGAGGAAATTCTTAAGCAAATATTTCTGCTCACCATACAAAAGATTCATAGCTGCTTTAAGAAGACTGGTTCAGCCAGTTTATTTCAGCAGATTTGGCCTATTTCAGATTGCTATTTGCATATTTTATATCAAGTGACCTGCCAAATGTCATGAAGAGGTGAACAGGGAATAGAGAAATCAGTCAAGGTGATGGATGAGCTGCAGACTTGATTATTTATTCAAATTATTCCCACAACGATTGAGCCTTGCTGATTGCAGACAGCATTTTGTCACAATCATTAGGAAAGGGCAAAGGTGGCAAAAATTTAATGGCCAAATTAGAGTTATTGAACAGCCCCTACTATGACAAGTTTAATCCAAAGCAGAAGAGCAAACTATTTGTGCCAATGAACACCAATATTTAGACCTCTTTCCACAAAACTTTGGGCACAATTTTGCTTGAAAATTAGCGTATTTGACTGAACATTTAACTCCTAAGTGTTCCCTAGGATTTCTGTAGTAGTGCATAGCTTCTCTTCAAGCCGTTTCCCTTAAAAGGACTATGACATCTTGAAAAGAGACCCCATCTTTTCCCTGCCCTCTCCAACCGTACAATAAAAAGAAATACTTAAAAAAACAGCTTAATATGTTCCTGTGATTGTTTGCTAGATCTATAACCATTTTAAAATAAGGAACCAATAAATTAAGGGTCTGCAGAACCCAACACTCTCAGGGTGAAATTCAGGCCTCACTGAAGTCCATAGTAAAATTCCCACTGTCTTCAGTGGAGCCAGGATTTCATCCTCAGGTTTCAACACATCTACTAATAAAAATACATAAAAAATTGCACTCATTTCACATCTAAAACAGTGTCTGCAAGGGTTTAAATGCAATAGGATGTGGTATGTGGCAAGAACAGCTCCCCATTCCTATGTTATCTGCCCTGTATCTTCGCCATTCTCCTTTTCCTCTCCAGTAACATGGTTATGCTGAGTCATTATTGTATTTAACATTCCAATGCACTCCTCCGATTTTTGATGTACCCTCCTCTGATGGGATTATTTGTGCTTCTGACACAAATAATGTGCAGGGGTACTGCATACTCTTCCTATCTGTTAATAATTCAGATACAAAACTGTTTCTGTATCTTCAGTTTGCACCCTTTTTTGAAGGCAGGCAATGTGAAGAAGCCCGGAATTTGCTCCATGGATTGTAACTTTCTTTGGGGCTCTGTAAGTTCAAAGGTGCAATGTAAATTAATTTTAGTTATCCAGTAACTTAAAATGCTAGCACAAATCCCAAAGATCAAAGCATTTAAAAAAAATCCTTGCATGGTAGAGGAGAGTTCTGCAGGTTTTCACCTATGTGACTTCAGTGCATGTTAATGAAACTTTAGCCAAGAGATTTCAAATGATAAAAATCAGCACTTTAAAATTATTCTTAAAACATAAGAACAAAAAATGAGATCTCTGCAAATGCTTCAGTCATATTCTTAATCTAATGATTTGCTTCTCTTCATACATTGTACAAGAATTTCAAAACACAAACTATGTTATGTAACTTAAATACAGTAAGGGCAGGAAGAAGGATCTATAAGACGCTATAAGCACATTCAGACAGAGATAAGGGCTAAGGAAGGTCAAGGCGGGATACAGCAGAATAGGCTGCAGATAGGAATATCATAGATGTCTTTCTTCTGTCATAAATTGCTCCAGCAATATTTTTTTCATGTCTTAAATCAGCTCAAGTAAGCATTTAATTTTGATTGCACATATCAGTATATGTTAAACAAACAGTTTTGATTATCAAAAATCAACACTATTGAGTGGATTATAAGTGTATAGCTCACGTCTGTATCATCTTTTGATAAGTATTAGCACAGTAGCTTTGTATGACAAATGAAAAGCAATTGATCATTAAAACATCTTTGAAATTCAGGGCTACCTCATTACCAAGGCCTAGTCTGGGTCTTGAAGAAACTGCTTTGCCATTGGAGTGGTGCAGATCCATACTGGCCTATGGGGAGCCATGGTGCCTCAGAGGCAAACTTTTCTCCTGGAACTTCCCTGTGCATACAACCATCCTGACACTGACATGTAGACATGAGGGGATACAGCTCCACTCCTCCCTGCACCCTTTGGGCTGCCCTGCCCTGAGGGCTGTAATTCTTCCCAGGTTATGCAGGTTACGGTTACGCAAAATGGAGGAAGCTCCTTTCTCCCTTTTCCTCCACCTTACACTGGACAAAAGCACTCAGCAGCACCTTGCAGGATTCAGTTCTACCTGTTGGAGGGGCGTGATTCTGCTCCACTGCAGTCAAAGGGATATTTTTGCCCTTGATTTTGATAGAAGCAGCATCTGGCCCCAAGATTTTAGTAATTAATTAGTATTTGCTTAACGTGTTCCATCTCTATGAAATATAAATTAAATTCCACTCAAAACATACATTAAAAGAATGTTAATATTCCACACTAAACTACTCAGTTTTTGTTCAAAGATGCCTCAGCATTTCTGTCCCATTCCAACATTAGAATGGGTTTCACAGGAACTGAGACAAAGGCTCTGCAGGAGCTCTGCATTATTGAGTGCACACTTTGCAAAGTGCAGAATTAAAGAGGCAAAGTGAACACTGAGGCTGGAGACAATTCAGGCTCCATGGTCTTCAGCATGACCCCTTTCACAAGCATTACTTTCTCACAGACACACTAAGCAGCATGATGGACAAAGTTTAAAGACTCTCTCATCAATTTGCATTATGAGTTTCTACTCTGCAATTGAAGCTAGGGTGGAGTCAATGGTGAAACAGCATAATCCATCTGAACCCTGTTAAAGGCCTGGAGGTGGCAAAACATTAGTTATTCATTCATTTCCTTTTGTTTGGCTTTTTAGTGTAAAGATACAGAGATGTAACAACTCTGTGTACCTTATTTTCAAGTCATTAAACTACAGAGGAAGAGGAGTGCCTGGAGCTGGCAGTGTATAGCAGTAATTCTCTAAATTACCCAACAACTTGTAAATACCACAGTTCCTTGTATTGTATTTAGGGAATTCATCATACTTGCAATACTGACTATATTAACTCTTATGTTGTCTTAGGAACAAAACAAAATTCCACTGTGCTACTAAATTGTTGCTACTTCAGATTTCAGTGTAATGAATACAGTATACCCTTTCCCCCACCAAAAAATAGAAAGAGTCTGGATGCCAGAGCTGTTTTAAAATCAACTTGGTGCACAGTTTCAGGAACATTCACAGCCAAATAATGTAGAATTCCAATTCCAATCATAAGTAAAACAGAGAGCATTAACAACAAAAGGAAAATATTGCCTTTAGTAAATGTGATAGGTGTCATTTTGTAATAATGATTATTTAAGCCTGTATGGATCACATATCATCATCTTAACATGAGTGGATTTCCAATAAAAAAATACAATATAGAAAAAACCAAGCACAGAAATGTGCTGGTTACTGGTTTCCATTGCAAATGCTTAAAATACAAACACTGAAGCAAACAATAGGCTGATTGTTACTCCTTGCAGAAGTTTCTCCTGAATTGCTGTACCTGGGTAACTGGGTTTGCCTCCATCCCCCCTCCCCCCACCCTGTCAAATAGGCCATGGTGTCTGCCCCAAACCCTATGCTCCCCCACCGTTCCATAGATGTCCCATGAGACCAGCAGTATCAGTATCCCTGTAGAAGTGTTAGAGAGTATTTATAAAAAGAAAAGGAGTACTTGTGGCACCTTAGAGACTAACCAATTTATTTGAGCATAAGCTTTCGTGAGCTACAGCTCACTTCATCGGATGCATACTGTGGAAAATACAGAAGACGTTTTTATACACACAAACCATGAAAAAATGGGTGATTATCATTGTTACAGTAATGCCCAGAGACCCCAATCAGAATGGAATCTGTGACAGGCTACAACAGTCAGGAGCGGGTTAGAGTCTGTCATAAGGTTCAGCTGGGCTAGAAAGGAAGTGGTGGGTCTCTTTTCCAAGAAGGGGCCGGGGGGGGGGGGGCTCTCTAGAGTGCTGCAGACTGTTTTGCTCTGGGGAAAAAGTTCTGTTTTGTGATTTTGTGAGCTTTTGTGCTTGGAATTAATAAACCCTGCCCTGAGGGAAAGGCCTGTTGAGAGAGCCTACCAAAGTATGTGGTGCCATTGCAATAGGCACTGTACAAATCTCAGTCTCTTCCCTGAAGACTGTACAATTATAATTATTACATTGAATCTATCTCAAAATAGAGTAGATAGGCTTGCCTCATACAATAGTATCTTGTACAAGTCTGTTGGATGATTTATGCACTAAAATAACTTAAAAACAGAAAATGTCCACAAGAAAAATGACCATGAAACTTATCTTCTCCAATTCCAGTATGATCTAAGAGGCAAAATTTCTGAGAAGGCTCAAAGAGACCAACTCCATGCCTAGAATCTCGGTGATTTTAAGGGTTTACTGGAAACTATCAACTATCCCCATTGATCATAGAATCGTAGGACTGGACAGGACCTCAAGAGGTCATCTAGTCCAGTCCCCTGCACTCATGGCAGGACTAAGTATTATCTAGACCATCCCTGTCAGGTGTTTGTCTAACCTGCTCTTAAAAATCTCCAATGATGGAGATTCCACAACCTCCCTAGACAATTTCCAGTGCTTAACTACCCTGACAGTTAGGAAGTTCTTCCTAATGTCCAACCTAAACCTTCCTTGCTGCAACTTTAAGCCCATTGCTTCTTGTCCTGTCCTCAGAGGTTAAGAAAAATATTTTTTCTCCCTCCTCCTTGCAACAACCTTTTATGTACTTGAAAACTGTTCTCATGTCCCCTCTAAGTCTTTTCTTCTCCAGACTAAACAAACCCAGTTTTTTCAATATTCCCTCATAGATCTTATTTGTTGTAAAACTGGAATATACTATTGATATAGAAGCTACTACAAAAAAATTAATACTATTAAGTCATAGTAAAGAGATACTAGATATTCCATTCTTACACATTCTCCAGAGTGTTAGTTAGAAACCGTGGGCCAAGTTCTGATCTCTGTTAAACTAGTGCAAACCAAGAGCAAACACGAAGTCAATGGAGGCGCTCAGGATTTGCACCAGTAGAGGGTAGGATTTGGTTCAATTGATTTACTGAAGATGCACAATTCCACCAAGCACTTATTTGCTCACAGTCTAATTTGGCCATTTAGGATTTACCGCAATGACTAGGCTATTTGGGGCTTCCTGTTCAGTACTAAAAAACCAGGTACAAATCAGGATAAATATTGGTTTAGGAGTGTTTGGTAATTGAATGAAAAAGCCTGATGTAGACAATCAGAAATCTACCATTGTGTTAGATAAAACAGGAACAGCAGTCATGCCAGACATGGAATCGTAAAATTCTTTGGATCAGAGAATAGAGGCTTCTAATAAACCTGAAATCGTAGCTGGTTGAATTATTCATTGTGAATAACACTTATTACAAATTTGGCCCATTTTTCTGTTCAAGAATCATTTGCAAACCAATCATAAGTTCTGTTAATTTGTTCATTAGTGTTTGCCATTAATGCAAACAAATTTCAGCCAATGGGTTGCTGCTGAACTGTTTATCTCAACTATCCTCTCTCTGGTGAGTGTGATTGGTACCTGTCACGTGATACTGTCAG